TCTTATTGTGGAGAGAGAGGGTGAACAGTCGGGCGTCAGCCTGAAAGGAGTTGGCATCTCAGGCCTTTGCTGCCTTCTCATACCCTTGTATCACCCAACGAAGGAAAGTGAAAGGAAAAACTCCCCACACTGAGGATTACAAACCCCACCCCATAAGACGTCGCATATTTTTACTGTAGCCATAGATGGCGCAAGCTAATGTTACTTACATTTATGTCTGAACATCAGGCGCCGCTGGAGAGCCCCCCCACCCCCCACCCCGCCTGGGCACAAGCGCTCCAGGGCCGGACACCCTGGGGGCGCGCCTGCAGAAGCGAGTGCCCACTCCTGAGCAGAAACTTTGTTTCTCAAAGAGGCCAAAAGTCATTTCAGGCCAAATCTGATGGGTAAGACGGAGGCCAGAGCTGCGGAAACCAGATTCCAAAGCTGATCTACACCAGGGCGTGGCCACAGACCAGCAGCCGTCTTCCTGGCCGGTGTGAAAGCAGCTGGCTGAAGGGACGTCCCGAAGCTCTGACGCGGGGCTGCGTCCTGGGAATGTTGATAGCCCTCCACGGCGACCGCTTCAGGAGGGTCGCGTTTGATTGGAGATAGCACTGCACACAAACAGCGGAGTTTGTTTTTAAAATAAGCATTATTGTATTAGTGTCGCACCTCATGTTCCCCCCGAAGCAGCCTCTCTCCTGGGGGTGGGGGCCTTAACTAGAGATTAACCAGAGATTAACTAGAGATTAACTGGAGATTAACCAGAGATTGGCCTACGAAGGCTCACGGTCCTCGGTGCAGCCNCACCTCATGTTCCCCCCGAAGCAGCCTCTCTCCTGGGGGTGGGGGCCTTAACTAGAGATTAACCAGAGATTAACTAGAGATTAACTGGAGATTAACCAGAGATTGGCCTACGAAGGCTCACGGTCCTCGGTGCAGCCGCTTTGTCGTCTCCATTCCCTCGCAGCCCTGGGCAGAGGTGCGGTGCAGTCAGTGGAGGGGCAGTTTACCTTTGAAGACAAAGACCTGAAGACCCAACAAATACAAGGGGTGGGAACCCTAAGCGCCCACTTTCCAGAGCAGTGAGCAGTAACGTCGGTCGGTGTGGCACAGGCCCCTGCCCAGGAACCCAGGAGCGTGGCCCGCCCCAAGGTGTCCCGCTTCAGGCCCCACCTGGCCCTGCCACTTCCTGGCCGTGCATCGTGGGCACGTGACGTGATCGCCCCTCTGTGGGTCTTCTGTAGAATTGGAGCAATACCCTGTCCCACTGGGCTCCTGAGATCGAATGGAATTGGCCCATGTGAGATGCTCAGCACGGTGCCCAGGACGTAGCAGGCACTCGGTCAGGGGAAGTTAGGGTTGTCATTAGGTATTGAATAAAACTGTCGTCAGTGTAAGCAAACCAGCCGGAGTGATAAATATAACATCCGCATTAAATGGCACAGCTCACTCAATGGCCAAATATAAACATTTAGATTACTTTTAGTTGGATATTCCCATGTCTCTATTTCTACACCCTCTTCTGCCCCAGTGCTTGAAATGTGTTTTATTTTTGAATCCTCAACAGAGGATATTTTCACCATTGCTTTTCAAACAGAGTGGAAGAGGGGGGTGGGAGGGGGGAGAGAGAAAGAAAAACATCTATGTCAGAGAGAGACATCAGTTGGTTGCCTCCTGCATGTTTCCTGACTGGGGCCGGGGATTGAGCCTGCAAGGGCGTGAGGAACGTGCCCTTGGCTGGAATCGAATCTGGGACCCTTCAGTCCAAGGGCCAACGCTCTAACCACTGAGCTAAACCGGCTAGGACTTTAAATGCTTTTATATGTGCTTTCAATTAGACTGTGCTGTTTCCCCCCAAAGATTACGGTGGCTTTATTAATTTATTATTTAGAACATCAAATTGCATAAAATAGCCACCATGTTTCCCTGTAAACAAAGTAGTTTCTAAAACTTCCTGACAGAGCTTTCTCGGATAAACCCAGATGTGCCGTGGGAGGAAGTGGGCATGTAAGGACTAGGGGATACCAGGATCCATCAGTCATCCGAAATCTATTCCGTGCTTTCAGGCCTCTGTTTAGATCTGTGCCTTCCAGGTGACATTTAGTCAAAAGCAGAAATATTTTTGTAAAGCCTTATTAACTAAAATCTAATTAACATTAATCAAATCTGGGCCACATAGCAGCCACCCTGGAAAAGATTAGGCAGGGTTTTTCTAAAAGTAAGAATCCTCCATTTATTTTACATGAACATTCAGTGGGGTGGCAACCAGCCCATGTCTTATATGTGGCTTTGGTTTAAAGTACATTTGCAGAAACAAGCTTGACTGTTGTGAAATGTATTGATACTGTGACTCAGACTTCAGACGTGGAGATATCACAGAAAACCACCCAGCAAACGACAGGGGAGGCATTTCCCTGCTGCTGTCTCTGACACAAGGTCATCGTGGACCGATGTCCCGTCCACAAGCCTGCGGCCCTGATGTAATGTGTCCACTGCCACTGTGGCTCACCTCAAGGCAGCACGTTGACTCCGGCTTGGCCTTCCCCTGAAAATGTTGGGTAGCCAAAAAGTTGTCCACTTTCCCAGCGAGGTCCCACGTTTGAGACCACGTGAAGAGGGAGGGAGTTCAGGGCAAAGCATGGGGGCCTTGCGGTCAGATGGAGCCAGGGGTAGATGCAGGTACTGCTGCTCGCTGGCTTGGCTACATCAGGTTACTTCCCCCTGTAAATCTGAGTTTCCCCTGGAGTAGGATGGACAGTCCTACTTCATAGAGTCTCCGTGAGACGGGACCACGTGCAGCTCATGTGCACAGCACCTGGGCACCATGGATGCCCAGCAGGTGCTGGTTCTCTTCTGGAGGACTTGGCACCTGGATCCTCCTTTCAGAATCACCTGGCATCTCTCTTGTTGACCACCTGCCTCCTCTGACGTCCAGTCTTTAAGGAAGTCAGCTCTCAGGATGCTGGTCATGCGGTTGGTTCATAGAGCTTGTGGCCTCGCTGAGCTCTTCATAAAACCAGTACAGCTGCTTTAAGAAGAAATGTTTTCTCCCATAAAGAGTCTCTGCGTGATAGACTCCAGGTCTGATGGTGAATCCAATGCCCTCAATGAAATGTTGGCTGGAGGTCAGACTGTTACTTGGGTTAGGTTCATTAATTGGTTTTTACTCAGCCGTTTGGCATGTATGTTTTGGATGCCTGAGTGACGTTGCCTCCTTTAAGGCACTCTGTATTAGCAAAAACTTCTATCATGAGTTTGGTTCGAAGGCCTCCGAATGAGTTTTCAAGCTGAACAATCAGCTCGCCAGAAAACTTTCAGTGGAACATTTACAAATACAGTAAAATGGGTTTTTTAATAGATCTTGAAAAGGATTTCTGTTTATAACTAGAACCTTCTGTGATTATTTGATATCCCTGTTGAACCTTAAGCAGCAGTAATGAAATGATGGGAAAATGCTGAGAAACAGAGAGATTGTTCATTTTAACCCTTGTCAAAGATTCCTTCCTGTGCTTGCTTCTGACACTGCCATGGACTCCGACCTACATCTGTGGAAATACAGTATTAGGTAGGACATGGGCAGTGCCCTTTGGTCAGGTGCCTGTGCTTGAGTAGTTGCTGAGACGAGAATGTGGGCACTGAAGACAGATCTGTGAGCATTTCTGTCTGTGACCCTCTGGAAAAGTTCAGGGCAGAGCTTCAAGCTTGGTCTTCACAGAGAGGAGCTTCCAGCCACCTCGGGGCTCTCTCTGCAGAGTTTGGGGCTGCTGAGAGGACGTGGCTCCTGGCGCCATGCTTACACGTTTCTTGTTGCACCCTCGAGCATTCTGGGTGCCATGCCTTGTGTCTGGGCATTGAAAACAGGAGCTTCCCAGAGCCTTCTAGAAAGAACCCTGATCCCTGGATACCACTCCTCTACTAAGGAGCTTTCCTTCCATATGCCTGTAGAGTTTTCCATTTTCTAGTGACCAGTGGGAGCGGAAGTGCCTGTAGAATTGGAGCATAAAATTTCCCCAGATTAGGTGGCGTCATCTAGTAGTTGGCCTTCCCAGTGACAAGTGCTGCCCCCCCCCCAAGTCTCTCCGTGGATTTCCCCCGTCCCTACTTTGTTGCTCACCTGGGCCTCGCTGAGCCACCATGCTCGAGCTCCAGAGGAAACGTGGCACCGGTCAGTCGGTTCAGGTAAACCAGGAGAAGGCGTTGAGTCAGACGGAAGGGAACCTTGAAGAACATTGGGGAGGGAGGAAATGAGTATGGCAAAGGGAAATGGAGGAAAAAAGAGCAGAATGCTTTAGGTTGTAAATTCTTATGCATAAAATCGCTTTTAGAAATATATTTTTTTCCAAAAACCATATCTTACTGAAAAAAATGGATTGCAATGAGTTGAGGTTGTTTTTAAAGTAAACATCTCTCTGTTGATGAGAAGGAAACCCATCCATGAAGGAAATGGTTACGTCGGTGCCGAGTCCCCCTCTGGGATAGCCCCGGGCACCTGCTAGTTCACCGCGACCTGCCCTTACCAGTCCTCACTGCTCCCCAGGGTCATTTACAAAACAGAATAACTAAAAGTAGGAATTTCTTAAGCCATCTCCATAAACATACTTAGCTGGACTTTTTAAAAATCTCTTTCCAGATAGAACAAAACCCCTGAACTTGCCTGCACCAACTTGTATGTCAGTTTTAGTTCCCCTGTGGCGTGTTCAGCAGCCGTGCAGTGCGCGAGGGTGTCTGTCCTGTGCCGACGGTCTGAGGACACCTGCCCTGGGGCTCGTCTCCAGCCGGCTGTGCCAGCCGCCGCCCTCGTTAACCTCCGTGGCCCTGGGGCGTGCAGGCGCGAGGGGAGTCCCGGGCGTCTCCCGGGTGGAGGGGGAGGCAGCGGGGGGCCTCTTGCTCCCCCGCGTTGTGGGCCTCCTGAAGCGTGTTGCGATGCACAGGGCGGCTCCCGCGACGTCTCGGGCGCGGGAAGAGCCGCGCTCTGCCGCGTCACGCGACCCCACGGTGCGCTGTTCTCTCCCCAGAGGACACGGTCGCGAAGAAGGCGGCGTGCCACTTCAGCGGGCGGGCCTACGCCGACGAGGAGCGCTGGGACCTAGACAGCTGCACCCACTGCTACTGCCTGCAGGGCCAGACGCTCTGCTCCACCGTCAGCTGCCCGCCGCTGCCCTGCCTGGAGCCCATCAACGTGGGAGGGAGCTGCTGCCCCATCTGCCCAGGTAGCTGAGCCCCGCCCTGCCACGATCGCGGGCGGAACGCAGGCGGACTCGGAGCCTGTCGGCCACCGTGCGCTCGCGTGGCCCAGGCCGCGTGGCCGGCCGGCTGCGGCCTCCCGTGCGGAGACGGGGGCAGGCTCAGGGCACTGAGCAGCCGGCGAGGCCCTGGTCCTGGTGCTTCCGACGCGCTCTACACAGCAGGGGAAGTTCGGTCCCATGGCACAGCGGACGGGTCAACGGCGCCTGCCCTGTTGGGTAGCGTTTCCGTGCCGTGTTGGGCCAGCCTAGTGAAAGTGGTTCCCGGTCAGACACAGCAGGAAGTACAGGGTGAACATACATCAGAACCAAGAAGGAAGGCCGGCATGTAAAGAGCACAGTGTGGCTCAGGCTTCTCTCAGTTCATCAACTCCAGCAGCACCCACCCCGGCCCACGCAGCCTCTGCCAGGCGCCCTGCTGAAGTCCGCATCTCTCCCACGCAGAGCATGCCCGCCGCGTGTGCCCCCAGCTGGCTCTGTGGACCCTGGGCCTCCGTCTTACCCTTCCCACCCCTGCCACCCTTCACGAAAGCTCAGCAGTTCACCCCTTAATTTCAAACCTAAGCCCCACAGCTGCCCAGGTCGCCCCCCAGGCCTTCCAGTTTCCATGTCTGTGTCCCCTGGGTGAAAACAGCTGCTTTATTCTCTGCCCCCGGTCCCAGCGGCGCAGGACCTGAGCCCCTGGCAGGATGGCCTCCAGGCAGTGCTCCAGACCTGAGGCCATGAACAGAGACTCCCCAGCAGTGCAGACCGCAGACGGAAGAGAGGGCTCACCAGAGGGCCCACTGGGGTCCTGGGCGAGTCAGGAGCATCTCCACTGCCACTCTCGTGTTTTCCTGCAGTGTTATGTCAGGGAATCTTGCTCCATGCCATCCAGTGAGCCAGCAGCCACGCCAGCTGTGAAATGGGAGTCGTGAAGCCCAGAGTTCCACTAAGTTCTGCCCACGTCACCTTTGGTGTAGGTGTTGTGCAGACCAGCCCTACCTGAGCACCTCTAAAAGTGCCCCTTGGTCCCCTAAGGAGGGTACAACGGGGTGTGCTGCCAGGTCAGGAGGCTGTACCCTTTTCAGAGCCTTCACTGGGTACTTTTCAGGTTGGCATCTTGTCGGCCTTGTTCAAGGTACAGATTGAGAGTCAGGTTCACTTCTGTGATGCTTCGCCGCTCAGCGTGCACGCGGGGAGAGAATGAAATCCTTCAGTGTTTGCAGTGGGAGCGAGGAGGCTCACTCTCTTTCCAATATTCGATTCAGTTCTCATTCCCTGACCAACGCAGGCCTTCCAATAACCCAGGCGAGAGAATGGCAGCGTGGACCAGGGTAGTGGTCATGCAGGGGGGGAGAACTGGTCGGATTCTCATTGTATTATAAGGGTAGTAACAGTAGGGTTTGAATTACCCGGTCATGCAGCTAGTCAGCGGGAGACCTGAGGGACCCAGCCCTCGGTGGACTTCAGGCGCCATCTCCAAAAAGTGGTGCCCTCAGCTGTGAGCCCAGCACTCAGAGAAGGACATGCTAAGGAAGGAACGTGGCTCTTCCAGCTGGTCAGGTGCCTCTGAATGTAAAGTGTATCCCCAGGAAGTCGTCTTGGGTTCCTCTGAGGATCAGATCAGATCAGATCTAGTCTCATTTAAGACTTAAATCAGGCAGCAGCTATTCCCAGGTAAGGGAAAGGTTGGAGGGGAAATGGCTAAATGCACAGAGGAAAATGCTCTCTCTCTTTCACTTCCTAGGACATGTATGATTCAGCACTCGTGGATTAAAGAGCACCAGTTATTAAAGTGTAGTGTTTAGCTGATGGAAAGTAAAAGAAAAGCTTCCATTTCAGCCAATCCAGGGCTTGCACAAAACTATAGAACCAACATCATCTGACATGAAAAAACAGAGTATCTGACCCTGGTAGAGAAGAAAACTCTGTTTTTCCTCCTTTTACATGGTTACAAGGCACATTTCCTGCCCCTGCAAAGCCAGGGACTCTCCAGCGGTGATGATGTAAATGCAGAAACTGGGTCTTTCACGTCCTAGGACATCCTGTCTTGAACTGGATGTACCATCCATTTGGGTTGAGGAGACGAAAGTTGACATTAAGTAGCCCCTCCATCATCTCTTATGAAAAACGTCCCCATCTTTCAGAAATGTATGTCCCAGAACCAACGAATGTGCCCATTGAGAAGGTAAATCATCGTGGAGAGACTGACCGAGAGGTTCCCGTGTGGCCCACTCCCAGTGAAAATGACATTGTCCATCTCCCCAGAGGTAAGTGCCAGAGTCAGCTGAGACCTGTCCAGTCTCGCGTAGGATCTGCTTTGCTTTTTTTTAATAATCCTCACCTGAGGACATGCTTAGAGAGAGGAAGGAAGGGGGGAGAGAGACATCGATGTGAGAGACATAGATCAGCTGCCTTCTGTACAGACCCAGACCAGGGGTCAGACCTGCACCCCAGCTATGTGTGCCCTGACTGGGAATCGCACCCGTGACCTTGCAGTGCCCAGGATGCTGCTCAACCACCTGAGCCATTTAGCCAGCTTGTTTAATTTTTAAAACTGCCTTGAAGTAACTTTTTAAATGGCATGCCGGAGTAAGCCGAGATAACTCCAGAGGACACCTGCTTGGCTGTAACACATTTAATTTACCCCGAATGATGAAGTCAGTCTGCAGGCCACTGGGTAAAATGCCTCCTCCTGGCCCCACATGTTAGAGACGTAGTGATGATGGAACAGAATATATTCCTTGTCCTAGGTGGAATTTCTAAGCCATCACTGATATTTATATGTGTGAGTAAGCGTTGTAAGCAGAGTACTATGTTATTCCCTGTTCCTTTGGATCCCGTACTGAGCATTTATATGCGTTGGGTTACCCTCCGCTTCCGGGGAGTTTTCACTCCACGAGAGTTTAGTTTATTGCGTGTTGATTTGCCCACTCACCAGGTTCATTCTGTGCTATCTATTTTTCCTACTCTGTGCTTTCAGCTGTGCATAAAAGGGATGTTATTCTTTGTCTCTCAATAGTTAAGTGGTAAAGCAAGGCAGCGTTTCTGTGCACATTGCCCTCTCTATGAAAGTAGATCCCTTGATCGAAGTATTACACGCTTGCTCTTCGCCAGGACTCAGTACTGCCTCCTGTCTACTCCAAGGACATTTTTCACATCATTGGTATATTTTATAATGTTTTTGGAAGAAGCAATATTCATTGCTTGAGAGATTAGTGGTCTGTTACTGTACATATCCCAAGTGTTATGCTCAGGTCAGTCCAGGGGACCTGAGAGCCAGGTTCCTGGACAGGTGTTTGGCCCCCTGTAGAACTGCTCTGACGGAAGGTGCTTTAGCATTGTTTACGTTCCTTCATAAGGTTAATAGATATTAATGATTAGCCTGCGCCACACACTGTTCTGGATGCTGGGCTTTGGTCATGAGAACAGCCTTATTTACTGTCGTATGTTGAGAATCTACATATTACCTAGGAGAAATTTTCTCACGTGTCAATAGCAGGGGAATTTTTGCTTCTCCTAAGCAACAGATTGGGTTTCATCTTAATGACATTGTGAATCTTATGGATGATATTTTATTTCCATTTTGCTTTGGCTGCTAGGAAGGTGCAAAGTGAAATTTTATGACCTGCCTTTAGCATGGAAACAGAACTTAAGGACTGAATTTTGTGAACAGACCTTAGTTCAAGTTTCATTTTTCTTTCACCAAGATTTTCCTTAATTCTTAAAAATCTTGTATGATACTCCTAAAACCATTTCCAATATCATTTGGAATGTGGTAAGCCAAAAATTCATTCCTTTACAGTCATTGTGTATTTAAAACCTGAACTCATTGGTGTTTTTACCTTTGGCATTTTTCTAGATGCTGATAAATATGTTCCTTCCCCCCCCCCCCCCTTCTATAAAGTACCACCATCTACACTGGCTAAAATGATTAGGAAGGTTTCCTTCCTCCTACCCCCCCACATACACGAAGCATATATATAAAAATCTGATTTTTAAACTGTAGACACCGAGTATCACACAGCTGTGCTGCTTAATGAGCGGAGTTTCCAGGACAACTCCTTTTGATTGCATGTGTCCCGCATCTTGTACTAACCAGGTCTTTGATGCATTTAGGCAGCCTACAAACTACAGTGGTTTATTTGAAACAAAATTAAGGAAACTTCCAGTGTGTGTTTCTGATTTATTTAACCTGTTATCTCCGTCTGCAGTGTTCATCGCAAAGGTGATGATTAAAAGGAGCAGAAGGACTTTCATTCATATCCGCAAAATTAAATGTTTTCCCCTGTGCAGTGTATTAATAACTAAGGCAGGAAAATGATCTAATAGGCTGGTGGCTTTTCAGCAAGTTTAGGAAAAGGCATTTTTGCTTAGAGCTCAGTAAACCAGAATACTAATCCAAAGACCAAGCTCTTGATTGTAGCTGAATTTTTGCTGTTACTCTAGTAATTAGCCTTACCTATTGTCCTAGTAAGGCAAAGAACATACTTCGTCTAAACTCCTACTTGCAAGTAGAGAGCTAAGCTAATACTTTTCCTTTAAAATGTTAGAAGCCAATAAAAGTTAATACTAATCAAAATATTTTTAGTCGAACTTTTGTCACTTTTTACAGTCTACATAAGAATTGTCTTATTTTCTTGACTAGCTAGGACCGGCATCATCCTGCCCAATTACTAACCTCCTTACCCTAATATTTCCTTACATCCATCCCTACGTGCTCTTTGGATCAACACTAGACTTTTAATCTGTTTTAGCCNTTTAACATCCATCCCTACGTGCTCTTTGGATCAACACTAGACTTTTAATCTGTTTTAGCCTTAAGTCCTGTGATGCAGTAAAACCAAGTTGCTGATTTCTGTTTGCAATGTAATTAAAATAATCCTTAAAAATGCTGGTGTAGATGATAAATGCTTGCCATCTTTTCTTTGTCTAGACATGGGTCACCTCCAGGTAGATTACAGAGATAACAGCAGGCCGCACGCAGGCGAGGATGCCTCGCTGGACAGCATCGCCTCGGTCGTGGTTCCCATCGTGATAGGCCTCTCCATGATCGTGGCCTTCCTGTTCGTCAATCAGAAGAAGCAGTGGATACCCCTGCTTTGCTGGTACCGAACGCCGACTAAGGTATCGTCCTGAGGGGGTTCAGTCTCTCGAGCGCTCAAACGAGGAAAGCTTGCACGCGTATTTCCCCAAATTGTTTGGTCTCTTTTCTGTTAACCAGTGAAGTTTTCACTTGGCTCCTCGTAGCCTCGCCTGCACATCAAGCTGTCGCAGTCAGGTATCTGCTGGCCCGGGGCTGGGTCAGCCGCTGGCTCATGGAGCCTCACCTTCCACAGACCCAATTTCCCGGATTTAAAGTTTTCAAGAAATAAGTACCTCTGGATTGAGTCCTAAGTCGCTAGTATTTCTCAGTGATCTAGCAACTTAGAATTGGGAGATAAAGGGAAGGTGGTGATGCCCAGGAGGCGAGAAGAGAGCCAGCCGACCGTGCGGACGTACAGAAGTCCGAAGGACAGGGAGACTTGTCCGAGACGAGCAGGGGGGACAGGGAGCGAAAGACGAGGCTGCATCAGGTGATGCTGGACAGGGCAGAGGGCAGGTTTCACGTGGAGGGAGAGAGTGAGTATGTGTTGTCAAGTCTGCCTATTTTCAAAGGCAAGCAAATCCATTTTCATTAAAGGAAATCAATTGTGATGCTTTCCAGCCCTGATTCTACCTTTTACATTTAGTTTTTTTCCAAGAAAAATCATACAACATGACAAATTGAAAACAGCCTGAATAAATTGTTTTATCCAATTTACCATCTAGATAACCCTTCCCCGTGAAATTCCATCAGATGGTTATCCTGCCTCCGATTTTGACAAAAAATGCACTGGGGACCGCCTCTGTGCTGGGCACCTGCCAGGTCAGGACACGCGGCAGGGACTGAGCAGGACACGGTCCCCACTGTGCAGAGCTGGGAGAAGAGACCTGCTCATGAAGTGGTGGAGGGGCTAGATTCAGCCTGTTCCACAGCCTGGGCGGCTGCGAGTTGTCTGTTTATTTGAAGTCTGCCTGCCTGTTCCTTCCGCTCATTTATCAGTTTCATAAGTACTGGTCTGCACTGCAAGGATTTGAAAATAGTTAATGTCACTCACCTCCCCAGTCTTTTCTCCCCCCTCAATTCCTTCATCCGCTCCAGTTGATATAATTTATTGACACTTCCCCTTGAAACAGTTTGTCAGCATCCCTTGTAAACCTGTAGTTGGTACCTGACCAGAGGTAGGCTCCAGAGCGCCCGCCCGCCCGTGTGCTGGGAAGCCGTTACCCCACCTGAGTAGGTGCTGAATTTGTGTTAACTTGGGCTACACAAAGCAGCTAATTCTTCGTGGTTTTTCCTCCTCTCACGAAATAGCCTTCTTCCTTAAATAACCAGCTTGTGTCTGTGGACTGCAAGAAAGGAACCCGAGCCCCGGGGGACAGTGCGCAGAGGATGCTCAGAATTGCTGAGCCGGACGCGAGATTCAGCGGCTTCTACAGCATGCAGAAGCAGAGCCACCTGCAGGCGGACAACTTCTACCAGACGGTGTGAGGCGCCCGGCGCAGGCCGGCGGCTGGAACCTGCTCGCGCCCTTCGCTGAGTTCGCGCGCCCGCCTCGTGGATTGTGTCGGATTGTGTTGGACTGTGACTCGATGTACAGCGCTGGGAACGGACTGGGACGGGCTCTGTCTACAGCAGTGTGCAGAACAAGCATTCCCACTTTTCCTCAAGATAACTGACCAAGTGTTTTCTTAGAACCAAAGTTTTTCAAGTTGCTGAGATATATTTGCTTGTAATATAGCGGTAGAGATATCTGGGGGGGGGACAGT